TTTGTTAGATGTAAATTCATACAGTAAATTTTGCTTGATACCTGATACAAATAAACAATACAATAATCGACCTTATGACCGAACGATGATGGGTGAATGCAAATATATACTAATACAGAACCACGCTCAAATAAACATAGCAAATTATGGGACTATAGTTTAGACGTAAATCCATACAATAAATCTTGGGTGATACTTGATACAAATAAACAATACAATAATCAACCTTATGACCACCAAGCAACCACAGGCAAATGCAAATATATGTTAATACAGAACCATGCTCAAATATACAGTTAACATTGCAAAATATGGGACTGTAGTTTAGATGTAAATTCATACAATAAATCTTAGGTTATACTGGATACAAATAAACAATACAATAATCGACCTTATGACCAAACGACCACATGCAAATATATGCTAATACAATATACAGTTAACATGGCAAATTATGGGACTATAGTTTATACAAACTTATAGGAGTAATTTTTTTATGAACATTGACATGAATCTTTACCTTATTGCAGTATATTTCTCATTTTGACGAGCACACAAAGTAAAAGAATTATCCATATTACTCGACAAGACAACAACTGAAAGCTACTCGACATATTCGCTATTTGTGGCGTCAATTTCCTAACAAAGATCTGCATTGGGCTCTTTGGGAACCTCAAATCATTACAATAAAATGCCATTTTGTAAAATAAAAATACGAATTTGTATAAATGGCGGGATCAAGCAGTAGAATCCAACAGATTTTCCAACAGATCAAACATGCAACAGATCAAACATCCAGAAATTTTTCAATATTTCTTATTTACTTGAGAAGGATATATTTAAGTAAAATAAAGCAGCAAACCAATAAGAAATCAATATTTTTCTTTCACCAGCCAATCCGAAAGCTTAAATTTCGCGAATGAGTCAGACTCCCGCAAAGATAAGGAAAGCGAATGAAGAACCAGTATTAGCCCTCCCATGCCTAGAAATCTGATACAGTATGGCCGCCCAGGGCGGACGCGCACGCGCAATGTGTCAATTTCGAGACGATTCATAATAGAAATTACATTGGAAATGCAAAAAATGACTTATTTTTGTTCCCTTAGGAAGTTTTTCTCAGTCTCCACAAGTTTTAGCTTGAAGTTCATGACATATACGACCAAAAAATACCGGATTATGGCTCGCATTGTTTGAAGAAAGTAGTTCCGTTTGCTCATGTAAATTGTGGCCAAAGCCTCATAGAAACGCCATATTCTATCTCTTGTACGTCGCAAATTCGATGCACAAACGCTTCTATAGACAATACTCTAAATGCAATGGCCGGTCTCCACAAGTTCAAAAGCACTGTTTACATGCCGATGTACAAGTTCCCGTCCATTTTTAATGCATGTTTTATTGCCTACCTGGTTCCAAAAGCCTTCAAAGAACAGCAATATATCCATCTTTCTTGTATCATGCCATTTTGCTTTAATGGCGAAGGAAATCTCCAAAACTTTGCTTCTTTCGCAAGGCAATTTCGCCAACAAACTATAAAAATTGTCGCCATCTTTTTTTCCGGGTTTTCCCCTTCCTTTGGAACCCTTAGTAATCCTTATTATCCTTTAGTATCCATAGTAATCCTTAAAAGCACAACATAAACATTTCGCAATTCTCATTTGAAAGTATAATGTCGGACGAATTCACCCGCGAAATTCGCTCGTCGTTTGAAAGAGCTGTTGTGGTCAGCCAACCTGATCTAAGCTATGCTGCAAAGGAAAAAGTGAGAGATATTATTTGTACATTGGTATTGCCATATCCCCTCATAAAGAAATGGTATGATATTGTACAGAATGTTGGTGGAATCGAAGAAAGCTCAAATCCGAAAAACCCAGATGAGAACAACGATGTTTCGAATTGCCAATGCAAACATAACAGAGTTACCTACGTTTGGCTTGTGGAAAAATGTATTGCTGGTGGCCTTTTCGCTTTCACAGATGATGAAGTTGTGAGGAATGAAATTGACATCAATTTATCCAAGATTGCTAGCAGTGTTTACCAATTGTACAAGAAGACGAAGGGGAGGGCAAGGAAAGATTTAGACGAGAGAGTTCGCAAATTCCATGTTTTTGAGGGCCAGACTATGTCTGTCATAAAACTACGAGAGGAGCTTAATAACGTGCATAATGAGCTTAATAATGTGAATGATGAACTAACAGAATTTCGAAAAAAGTATGAAAATTTGGAAAAAGAGAAAGAGAAACTCTACAATGAGATGGCCACCACTATTAAACAAAAGGACACAATGATTACCGAGTTGCAAAAGAACAACAGAGAACTGGAACAATATGCTCAAATTCTGGAAAATAGTATAGGAATATCAGCATACAAAGGAAAGTCAGTATCTGATGTGAAAAACAAAACAAGAACCCTAAAGTCGTTTTTGTCACGGGCACAAGTTGCATTGTGGTTCTCCAGTTCATTTGGCATTGAACTGGAGAGCCTTGCTGTTAAAGAAACTGTTTCTGGGGAGATTCATAATTTAAAATGTGAGCAAAGCATTCCTAGTGAGCCCTCTGACCCAAGCAATGAAGAGAGAAATAATGCATCCTTGCCAAAGTTTAATAATTTATCACCTGAGGACAAAACTAAAGTAGAGCAAATACTGTTTTTAGTGGACAAATTCTGTGTTGGTGATGTATTCTACACGAGTTATCCATGCTTGTTGAAGGATTACCAAGATCTTACCTAGTCAAACAATGTCGCAAAGAATTAAATAAAATGTGCCATATCGATCCACTCAAAGGAGAGTACAAAGGAGCCAAAGTTAGTTCAGTTGAAAATATGTTTAGCACACACATTCAAGATTTTGTTGAACAGAATCCAGAATTTAATGTGTCAGCAGACACAATCAAGATCAAAATCAGTGGTGATGGTGCAGTAATGACTAGAACTTCCAATTTCATTTTATTGTCCTTTTCTCTTCTTCAACAGGCGAAAATGTCATGTCTGCAAAAGGTAATAGAACAATTGCCGTAGTGGATGGAAAGAAAGTTATGAAACTATGGAGGAATCTTTTGGAGTTGTGTTTCAGGAAATAAATAAAATAATCTCTAATGGAAAAATCAAGGTTGATGGGCAAGATATAAAACTGAATTTTTCCTTGGAGGAGACTATAAATTTATTCTTTTGATGCTTGGCCTCAAAGGAGCAAATTCTGATTATGCGTGTGCGTGGTGCAAACTTCCAAAAATAGACCGCTGGAGGATGGATCAACATTACAGTTACTTTAACACGAACCCACTTTCCAGATCCTTAGAAGAAATTCAGGAATTGTGTGAGAAATCAACAAATAACTTTTGCTGTGCTAAAAGCCTCTGCTGAACATTGATTTGAACCACACAATAATCGATGAACTTCACCTTTTATTACGAGTTACTGATGTCCTTCTAGAAAACCTTGTAAACGAATGTGTAAATTGGGACAAGGAAGATGAAATGGACATCATGAAAGGAGATGAGCGTGGTGTTCATCTCTCAAATCTTGTTGAGGTAATTCGGTCTTGTGGTGTTTCCTTTAACGTATGGGAGAAGAGGGATGTAAACGGCAGAACTAGTGGACAATATGAGTGGACTAGCTTAATGGAGCATGACAAAAAAATTCTCCTTGCTGAACTCCCTGAAAAAATGGGTTTATTTTACATCCAGAGACAAGCATTTAGTGGCACAAATTTGGCGAGATTTTCAGGTCGTTTATCAGCAAATCAACAAATGGGAGCCAGAAGGTAGTGTAACTGAATATTGGATTAAGGCCAAGAATTGGATCAAACTTTTTTACAATTAAATGGCAAATTGGAAGGGTATGAAAGGAAACGGATAACTCCTTACATGCACATTATGGTTCAGCATGTCCCCAGATTTTTCGAGTTACATCACTCCATAAAACAATTTACAGGTCAAGGCGTGGAAAAAAACAATGATGTAGCTCGAAGTGTCGTTCTTCGCAAGTCAAATAAAAGAGACTCAACTGGGGATGTGTTGCGAATGGAGCAGCGGCAGTGGGAATTGCGCGGTCATGAAAGAAAGGCTCGGATATATAACAAAACAAACATGGGGTACTGGAATAATGAAATAAAAGAAAACCGGCAGAGATTGAAAAGGCAAACTTTGCGCACGGAGGCAAGTGATGACTGTAATGAACAACATTCTGTAGTACTGGAGCAAGAACTTCCACATTTTAGCACTGTCAATGCAATGGACTTTGAAAAAATGACAACTACTGTTTTAAGGGAACAATTAAAATTAAGAAGTGCACATGGATATAGCAAAAAAAGAAAGACAGAACTGATAGATCAGTTAAGACAAATTTGCCAACATGAAATGAGGTAATATGTACAGTACCCATTATCAATCACCATGCATCATATTTTTTTATCTGACCTTCTTACAGCCAGATGATCTGAAATGATTATATCATGTGACGTCATGACACAACTGAGTTATCATTTACTAGGAAGCATTTGTTAGCACATTTGCCCCTAAGTGTTTATAAGGGAAATTCAGTTTTCAATAAACAATTGATTGATAAATTAAAATCTTTTTGTATAAAAATAATAGAATTATTCAAAAGTTTCCAGGACAGAAGTTATAAGAGATGAAGGAAATGATAACTCAGTTTTTCTCGTAGCCCTAGTTTCTGATTGGCTAATTTAGATCACCTGAATGCTATTCATTACTAGCAAGACACAGTGATACATTACATAAAGATACCACAATTTCATAATGAAATAAGTTTGTACATTTAATTAAGCCTTTTCTAAGTGTCGCAGTTTACATGCGGAAAATGCATTTGAAACAATCAGGTCTTTTAGCTGATTATCCATTGTTTTGAATGCATTTGCCACATGTATAATGCAACGTTTAGAACAGGCCTTAGTTGTTGTTGGTTGTATAACAATGTAAATATTAAAATATTATCTTAGTCCTAATATTTAATGTAGAAGTACCACAGGCTCACGAATAAAGTCAAATGACAGTTTTTCCAGCAACATTGGACGACTTTCCTGAACGCTTCCCACTAACCACCGTAAAATTTCTTGGTGATTTTGTTAGAACAGTTCTGACCTTGATAGGATACTTAACTCTCACACCATCACCAATTTTATCACCAACTGTATCCCAATTACCATCAAATTTACATCTATCAAAATCAGCCTTGTCTAACAAAAGATATTTCCCATCTTTTGACTGCTTGCCCTTGCCATTAAATATGTAACGAAAGCAATCATGATCAAAGTCAATAGTAATGTTTTTCTTGCTTCTGCTTTTTAACTTCAAGAGAATACCAACATGTAATGTGTCGAGATTCTTTTGCAACCTTTCTGGCTGTATGTTTGGCTGGTCATAAGATCTGTAAATAAAGTAAACTTTATATATCCATAGACTCAAGAAAATTTATAGTACCGGTATGTATGGCATTTAAGCAAATTAAAGGGTAAAAGCACTGCTGCTTCATGTTTGGAAATATGAAGAATATTTTGCAGGAACAATTCTCTTCAGAGATCCTGTTTGGATCAATAGGAGTTTACTTCTCAGAAGTTTTCAAATAGACACGCAGAAATACAGAAACTAAAACTGGGGCCTATTGTTTAAAGCTGGGTTAGTTTAACCCCAGGTTAATCTAAAATTCAAAGCAGACTTTCTGACAACCTGTCTATAAATTTAGAAATAATTCTTCAAGGATCTTTTCAGGATAGATAGGAGTTCACCTCTCTGAAGTTTTGAAATAAACATACATGTAGAAATACACAAACTAGAACAGAGGGTTACATTTTCACCTGGGGTTAGTGCTAACCCACCTTTGAACAACTGGCCCCCACTGTTAAAATTTTAACCCAGGGTTAGTGGTAACCCACTTTTGAACAATCAGCCCCTGAACAATTACAAGAGGCAACAATAATTACAAAATCTCAGCAATAAACCATGGCTATTTGGCTAAATTTAATAAACATACTAGTACCTGATAAGGTCTTCTGTCAAATTTTCCTCATGTTCCCAGCTGTTTTCAAAGGCACTATAATTTTTCCACTTTACCAAATATTCGGTCTGTGAGAAGTATTGAGTAACAAAATTTTAGACTCAAACAGTCAAAGCCATTTTGGATTTATAAACTATAAACTTATTTAATTAACATTATTTACATTTTATACAGGCTGACAAATCCCCACAGTAGAAAATATGCGCCGAATGGAAACTCGACAACATAATTATAGCAAATACATTATCTGTTGGGTTTTAATGAACTTTGCTCGCCCAAAAAACACTAGTAGTGTAGATAGCAAAATATATTTAAAATGGGAACAGCTTTAGACCAACATACAGTATAAAACATTTGGTTCTTACCGAGTTCTTTTTCATTCGCTTTGAAACAAGTCTCTCTACGGGGTAAAATGACGTCGATACTTGATTTTTTCTTGTCCGCTTTCTTTCACTTGTTCCCCACAGTAAATCGACGGATGAAGCGTTGTGCAATTGAGTGTATACTCCTCTAATATCTCCATGGTCTCTTAACCCTTCCGCCATGTTTAAACATTAAGCTGCTAAGACGCATGCGTGTTACACATCTTACTCATTTGTGCGCCCGCAAGGCAAACTGCTGAACTGTATCAGATTTCTAGCCATGCACCAGCCAATCAGAAACGCTTAAATTGCGCAAATGAGTCAGGCGCCCGCAAAGATGAGTCATACTTCTTCTAAGCCAATCAAATGCCTAGAATCAGAAGTCAATGAGGCAAAATGATTAAAAAGGGGTATTCGCTAATATGACTCATTTGCAGAGAGCTCAAAAGTCAGTGACCAGCAACTGCATGAAGCTTAACTTTTAACTGGACTGTTAATTAATTGCATGACTAATTTCGCTGACTGAAGTTTAAATATTTCGACCTGGACTTGTGTAATTTTTGACTTAGTGGCATGACTCATCTGACAACCCCTAGATCTGCCCCTGATCAGTCTTCCTTTTTTGTGGGATGATGCAAAGAATTTTTCTGTTCTGGACAATTTGTTGTTGCGAATTATAATAAGGTAAGCAATGTCTGGATTATTCTAATTTGCATAAGCCAGGTATATGATTATGACTCATAAACTAGCTAAAAATGAAATAGATTGAGATACTGAAATTGAAAGCTTATGTCCTCAAGACTTCAAAATGTATCTTGGTAACTCCAATTTCCCGTTAACGCTGTGATTCACTCGATCATCAGTTGTCTGACACTTTACAAAAAAAATTATATTTATAAATAATACTTTAAAAGATATAATTATCCATATCTTTATAATCAAGAACAGCTATGACTCCCGGCCTTCATTGAGCCTAAAAGAGGAAGACAGTGGTTTCATTGGTGAAACTAAAATAGACATCAATGTGCGGGCACAGTGCAGTTACGTTCTTTTTTACATGAGGATTAAGGAATATAAAACAAATATCTGTCTGTTACCTGTCAATTTATTATAGTTTAGGTAATAATAATTTCACAATTTTGGTCACTAATAATGCTTAAAGTGGTTTACATACAATGTAAACTGTCTTACACATACACTTTCCCTCATATATAGTGTTTAGTTTCAATAGAAAATACCTAATGAATACAATGAATGCTAATGCTTTGGTTAGCTTTACTGTTGTTGACTTCATTTGACTTTATCATTGACTTAAGGGTTGATTCTACAACTGTGAAATGCGAAAATCTTGACGCGGTAACAGAATTATGCGAAAATTTTCTGTCCTCGGTGATTTCCATGGTCAAAAAAAAGGTGTGAAGTTTGAAAAAAATAAAAACAATATGGTTGCGAAAGAAAAAATATCGATGCTCTTGCTTATTCTTTATTGTAGACAAAAACGTTGTCAAAGTAAAAAATACAGAAAAAGATTTTTGTTCAGAAAGCTATTTCGTTAGTCCAAACTATTTTTTCTTATCTGTTCTTTTATAAACACGGCGATTTCTTAGCCAGAGTATTGGCATGAACTGGACTTCATTTATAAGTAATTCATTGAAATCATAGTAAGAAAACTGTTGTAATCATAATCATAAATTTAATCATAAAGACTATATACAAAATAGTCGGCGTTAGATCATATCGAACTAACGTACATGAAGTCATAAAATTTTCAATAACCCTAACCGTAATTAAGGTAAAGCCAGAGATACTATTACATAAGTATATGATCACTCCTATACTGGGTATGAGGGTAACAGACATTTACACTTTCGTGTACATTTATAAATGTATATATATAAATGTATCATCATTCATCGCCATTTTTATTTTATCATTTTTATGAACCAGCTCTAGAAAGACTTCATGTAAGACTTCTGTTATTATACTTCCTTTATTGGAAAATTTATGACGTCATGTACGTTAGTTCGATATGATCTAACGCCGACCATACAAAATGGCTTTATTCTACTCAAAACTACTGTACGATTATGCTGCAGTTCAAAATGGCAGACACGAAAATGACCAAAAGTCCCACAGGCTCAAGTGCCACAATGATCCATAATTATTATAACATAAAGTTCATATCATTCTGCCTCCCTAAGAGTTAGAACCTACTACAAAATATACTAATATAATACTATAATATAATAATAACTAAGATAATATAACTACTATAATACAATGCGAAAATCATGCTAATTAATAAAAGTTTCAAAGATTGTTCTATCGTCCATAGCGAGATGGTGATTTAGTTTGACGAGTCTAATGTCTAAGACCAAGCGCCTCGGCCACAGGAGGATGTTGATCATTGGAAGTTGGTGTTAATGATGTTTCACACATTGTTGCAGGCAATGCATCTCTTCTTTCACTACTAGGTGCATTTCTTTCCTCATTATGTGGTGCAGTTCTCTGGTTGTTTAGCGAAGGTGGGAGTAAGAGGACAAGGAGCCAAATCTGAAAATGAGATGGAAGATTCCCTTTCATTAGGGTACTCAATATGTGCATAGGTTGGATTTGCATCTAGTTAGTTCTAAAAAAACGCCTGAGAAGAACTGGTCCGGGTTGCTGCAACCAAGATGGTAGTGACGATCCAAGAGACGAACGCTGTTAGAAGTTGAATAATCCACACACAGTCTCTTTTTATGTCGGTTAGAGGGATCCTTGGTTAGAGGGATCCTTAGAAACAACAACTTGCGCCCTCCATGATGACATTGCTTGGCTCGATAATTCCTTGTGCAAGAAGTTTTGAAATCTCTTGGTCAATAAACTTTTGATCTTCTTTGCTAAAGCATCTAGATTTCGTTGCTATAGGCTTAGCATCAGGTAAGAGATTACCAAATAATAGTGGCTCTTCAATTGAGGCAACTGATAATGAACAAATAGGCGGATAATTGGGAATTATCAGATCTGGTTTATTGCCCCCAAGTTCAATTATTACTTGTTTGTGTTCTCTTTGGAAATCCTGGCTCAAAATAATATCACTGCTAAGGTTTTCTAGGCTTCTCAATCGAGTGGATGAGTAGACTAGGTGAATTGATCAATTATATCAGCGAGGCAGTGGCCAAGGACACAAGTCTTAATAGAAGTTAGAGCCATAGATATCTCCTGTTTTGATGGATTGATCTTAAGACCTAGTTTCTTTGCTGAAGCTTGACTAATGAAACTATCAGAGCTACCAGAGTCAATGAGTGCAAACAAAGCAATCCCACTAATGGAAACCTTTACAGAGGCTTGTGAAAGTCTTTCTGGACACGCATTTATTGTGTGCTGAGATTAGTGGATATTTTTCGCCTCATTTGGATGCTGTATTCATAAGTGTAAGTATTTCAAAGTCGTTCATTTTGTGCTTATAGAAAAAAGTTGTTGTGGCATTTGTATACAAACAGTTTATTACAAATATAGCAAATTATCAAGATTTTGTTAGGGTGTGTTGAAATTCTGTTGCGCGACACTTGATACTTAAATATTCGTACTCGATTCCACTCCAAGTTTTGAGTAATGAGTCAATTCGAGTGGTGATTTGACATGCATACTCACGAGTAACGAGTGCTAACGAGTACTTGTTTGACTCGCGAGTACTCAATACTCGCTAGTGGATGTACCCTTCCTCGCGAGCGGTACTGTAAATATCTATACTATATCTATTAAAAATCTATACTACAAAATGTAAAAATCTCAAAAATAGATATGCCTATATATACAATCGACTCTTTAAACCAGCTTAAAAGCTGAAAAAGAATCGCTCTAAAAGGATGCTATATTAAATCTACTCTTGTAATCTGTTTATTGCCATCGCGGATGATAAGACATGTGTTTAAAAACTGTTCGTATTCACATTGGGAATTATAAACTCAGGATGACTTCTCAAAGAGTGGGACTGGACCATTCGCATTGGAAGTAGGTTATGAAGTTTATGATCCGTACTGTTTTCGATGCTTTTAAACAGCCTCAGACAGGCTTCCTCTCGTCTAGCATGAAGAGTTTGTAGGTTGCTATACTGTAAACAATCTTGAAGATATTTGGGCAATGCATAGTGAAAGACCTCAGAACTATATTTAAGGATTGGTCTTATACAAGTGCAGCAGAAGAGCAGTATTTCTGGTATTGGGATTTTTGCTCGTTTAAGCTGGATGATAAAATATATCCTCTTGTTGGCTTTTTTGACGATATTACAGACATGCTGGTTCCACTTTAAATTGTTGCTAATTGTTAGGCCCTGGATTTTAGCGTGATAAGTTATTTCTAAGTTGCAACTGTTAATATGGATGTTTGGGAAGTCTAGTTCTTCCTTTCCAAAATAATGAATTCTCAATTCTTCACATTTGGTGCAATTGAGTTGGAAACAGTTCTCCATTGATCATTGTTGTATATAGTCCAGGGGGTGGAGTGGGTGTGTCTCTTAACTACTTCAGAGATCATTGTGTTGTCAATATATTTCCAGTAGTCGGTAGAGCATAGTTTAAGGTCATTAATTATTAAGATAAACAACCAAGGTCCCAGTTTAGTTTTTTGGGGAACTCCAGATGGGACCTCGCCCCACTCCGAGAAACAGTCACGTGACAATTTTACCCTTTGTTCTCTATTCATCAGAAAGTCAATAATCCATTTCTTTACTGAAAGTGGAATATAAAGTTGAAACACTTTTTGTGCAAGAATTCGGTGATCAATAAGATCAAATGCTTTTCGGTAATCAAGCAAACTACTCAAATTGCATCCCCTGTACCGTCCGTAGCCTTATTCCATTCATGAACCATGTTGATAAGAGCTAGAGTGGCTGAGGACTGAGGAATCCCTCCGAATTGCTGTGGATCAACAATGCTCAAGATAGCTGGCGCAATATAATTTTCAACAATGAAGTCTTTGGCAAATTTGGATAGGGTACAAGTTAATGATATTGGCCTAAGATGTTTGGTTATGTCAGTAAATGGCTTCTCTTTAGGAATGGAGGTGATATTTGCTCGCTTCCAGGCTACTGGCAGTTTTTGCTCGTTATATAAAGCATTTGATAAATTGGAAATGGGCAAAGACAAAATATTTGCATACTCTTTTAGAATCCAGTTTGCTATATCATCTGGCCCAGGGGCTTTGCCGCTGTTCAATGATTTTAATTTACTGTATGCTGATTCCAGCGTGGTCTTCCTCATGTCAGCATGTGAGATATTATGCGTG